ATAGTGAGCTGATCAATAATGTAGCACAGTAGGAACATAGAAACACTTTTTATCCTCATTTGATCACCAGGTCATAATTATTTATTTATCCCAGTCCCTGAACAATTTTGCAAATACCTACGTACCCATTCGCAAAACTAATATTCAATAATTACTCACCAGAAATGTGGTACTAACCTCACAATGATACACTTCCTAACACTAACTAAAACTGCAAACTGATGATGCAGATTGCAGTTGAGCGACCGGCCGGCGTCTTATTTCAATCGGGAAATCATTTCATTGGTTATCTTAGGTGGTGTGATGCTTCACTCCCGAACAAATTGCCAATTATTGTAAAATTTATATTCCAGCTTAAAGTTATATATAGGTACTCTTTTTATACGAATTATTTTAAAAATTGTACATTGAAATATTTACAACATTTTTCTGAACAATATTGTGCAAAAATTGACTTAAACAAACTAATTAGAAAACCCAATCCTATCTTGGATAACGTAGGACATTTATAGAAAATTATGCTCCAATGGCATATTGCACAACTTTGTGCAATGTTTTTCAAACGGATTTTTCTGTGTGCTGGCTTCATAGTCGAACATTATGTATTTTGTATAGTATAATTAAAGTTTTTTACCAAAATCCCAAATTGATAAATTGATAAATAAAAAAATGTTTATGTAGGTTAATAAACATCAACTTAAACGTGGGAGATTAATGTTGCTGACAAGCCATTGGAATCTAATTGACTTTAATGAGGCAATAATTTCTATAATTCAAATTTGCCAATTAATTAGATCTATCGATATATTTGCTGTGTACACTCTTGCTCAATGCCTAATCATATACGTTTACGAATATGGACATTTCAGATACCAGTGGCTACCAAGGAATCAGTCAATATTTCATCGCAGACTTAATTATATGTTGACTTGTTAACTTTATGACTTTGAAGTGGGCACCTATGTTACACTACCTACACTTAAAAGGTTTTGCTACTGAAAACTAAATTGGAAGACAGGATTTTCAATATGTCATGTCATTGGCCTATATTTGGGTGTACCAAAAAATAAAGTTTTTTTAAATTCTATGACATCTCTAAAAATGAATTAGTCAAAAATGACTAATTTAATAGTTATTAGTGGCTGCTTTTTCATGGAAAACCATGGTACCCCCAAAATTTAACAGCCAATTCTTATGTAAAATTGTCCTCTGAATCCGAAAACACCGTCAAAAATTAAGAAAGTGGAGCAGTTTTTGAGATATAGTCAATTCCATATTAAATGGAAAATTGACTATATCTCAAAAACTGTTCTACTTTTTTTAACTTTTGACGACATTTTCGGATTCAGGTGACATATTTACATAAGAATTGGCTATTAAATTTTGGGATACCATGGTTAACCATGGTACAAGTGAAAAAGCAGCCACTAATAACTATTAAATTAGTCATTTAGAGAGTAGTATACTCGCAGTTAAACAAAATCGCTTTGAATTTATAATATTTGTCATAATTGCACCTGAATTTATATATCTTTTATTAAAAAGGTACTCTAATTAGTGCACATGACATCTTTTAAATAATTTATTGTTAGCCTTATTAGGTTAGCTTAAATATGAATTTATTTATTGAAAACGGTTCAATTAGACTTACTATAACAGTACATCTAACTAAGGGAATAAAAATTGTCATTTAATAAGCGGGATATTAGCAAAACGTGTACCTACATATACTTAGTCGAAACCAGATATACCTACCTACTCAGTTATATGATGGAATCAAAAGTAATACTTCTAACGATAAAATTATGATCGAAATAATTGGCAATTAAATACAAATAAATGCAAATTGATTGGAAATTTTTCCATAAGATATTTGCGGAAATATTTGCATTTTAAGATACTCGTACATCATATATTTTATGACAGCCAGCAAACTTTTATGACATTTAAGTCTAAAGGTTAATAAGCCATACTCTACTACTATAAACTAACTATTACATGGGTTTTAACACCTTTTGCTTATTAGTTAATAAACTACGCTGCAAAAAACATGATTTACTAAGTCATTTGTTGACATTTAAACAAATCTAGCTAGCTGCAAAACAATGCCAACTTGGACCATTAGGGTTATAGCATTAATTTCATTGATTTAATATAAGGTTACTATCTAAACATTTAAACAAAATAAGACAACGGTTCTTCTCCACTTAAATGTAGACAAGTGCTTAAAAAATGTCCAAATACACCTGTCGTAGATATCGTATCGTATCATATGGTGCAACTGTTCTATTATATCCGGTTAATTATATTCCCTTCTTTATTCTATGCATGTACAAATTCACAAGGCGCCAAAAGGTCAGGCCCGTCCCTGGCTGTTTTGCCGCCCTTGTGCAAAATGAAATTTGCCTCCCCCTTTTGTCCTGTTTCTTTGTATACACTATAGTGCAAGTGGCAATGGAGAAGAATAAAATTGGTTCATAATTTTGCTGACATTTTGGAAAAGTAAGAATGTGTATTTAATTATTAGCTTTTCATAGTTTCATTATGAATTGTAATGTTCCTATTCCCCGTCACGTATAGTGTTAATATAATTACGCATTTAAATATGCATGTAAACCATAATTTTCTGCCTGTTTGGAAATGTTTTTCATGTTAGATGTCATTTGAAATTTACGATTATCTATATGTTTCAAGGCAAATTATTGAATAATTACCTAACAATTAAAAGGCAAAATTCCTTTTAAATTTGAATTAAAATTAATAACAAACGTTTATTATTTATTTTAATAATACAAAGTGTTCTACAATCCATTACAGCATTCTTTCTATTTTTTTTGTGGTGAAATTTTTGAATATTCATTTAACTCGACCATTATTTATATAAATAATTAATGTATTTCTATAATTAATCAATTAATTGTCAATTTTATGTATCAACATGTCTAATAAATTACAATTATGTTTTTCCATTAGCTTTTTATAGATCGTTATAATCTTTTAATACAAATGTCCTTAATGTAATAAAGTACTTAACAAACAATACTAATACACTCCCTGCCATATAAAAAGTGGAAGTATCGGATTTAAACTGATTTAAATATTTTTTTATTAGTTACTTTGTTTAAGCCTATTATCTGTATCTATATCTAGTTCAAATTTAGTCTTATATAAGTAGGTGTATCAATTTGTCGAAAAAAAGCTGTTTTTGGAAAAAAATTACCTCAGTAATTTTTGTAGTATGAATCCTTTCAGGCTTAAGATCCAAATTTATTTTAATTAATTTTTATTTTTGATTAAAAAAAATTACCTACTTTTAAATTTTATTTGTTCGAATAATGGAATATGGCAGATGACGCGTGCAACATCAATTTTAACCGCATTGTAAAAAAATATTTATTCTAAAACCTAATTATTAATTATTTTCCAGCTGACTGCATCAACCTGCTAAAACGATTCGAAACAAATGCCCATCACGGCCACTTAACGACCACGTCGAAGAAACGAATTCATTCGAACGATTGTTTTTCGTATCGCTGAACGGAAACAGGAAGTTCATTATGCCCAGAGTCCGTTAAAATCAAACCAAAGACGTACTAAAAAAATTACTTTTAATTTGATTATTTTTAATTTATTTATTTTGCATGCTTAAATATGTACTCCTATTTTTTTTAATAACTAGCAATGTTGTTAGTACGCCCCTGTAAAATTTTATTGAAAACAAACAAAAAATGTACCCTACAAATCGATTTTAAAACCAAAAAAACACATTAATAAAATTTTATTTTTTATTGCAATTTTGGCCCATTTTAAATTATTTGCTGGATACACCCCTGGCTTATTATATCTTTGGCACGCCTCTGTGTAAATTTCACCGAAAACGAGTAAAAATTACGGCCCGAAAAACGGTTTTCTTTGCTTTAGTTTCGTGTTCTCATCAACTGTTGGTGTCTCCTCGTGACTTATTTTTATTTTACGTTCTTTACAATTCCTTTATGCACTTGTCCGGCGACACAATAATTACGCACATGTTTCTGCCGGTGAACTAAAGGGTGACCACCTGTGGGTCGTGGGAAATAACCGTTAAAATTTACGGAAAAAACAGGTGAAAAGATTTTTTACTCACTAGAGTGGAAATTTCTTAATTTATGGTAATTTTTATAACCGACTTTACCGGATAAATTTTTGCGGTTGCGTTATGAAATTTGTTGGGTTTTTTCTTTAATATGTAAAAATTATGAATTGGAATTCATATATTTTTGCATTTCTTTTACATAGTTGATGTCTCTTCCGGTTAAACCGGAAGTTATATTTTGTTCAAAATATTTTAGAAAAATATACCTACTTAAATGGATTATAAAATTTCAAATCCATATCCTTTTCCGTTCCCGAAAAACTTCTATTGGACCACACGAATGTAAAAACACCCTGTATATTTCAACAAAATTATAAATAATTCTTTTGATTGGTTTTTATACAGGGCAATTCGTTTTCGGGTTGCAACACGTTTTATATATCTTTAAAAAATTCCTTCATGTTTACATAGGCATTGTATTCAGAATTTCAATATAAATTCCAAGATATTCCGTCCTGCTTGTACGTGAATGAATTGAAAAATCGAAAAAATCAAAACCAATAGAAATTCAACAAACAACTCGAAGTGTTGCAAATTTTTGCCACGCCAAATTTATTAAACAACTTAATGTCTTTTTAATGCACAGTTACGATGCAGCAAACCGTAAAAAATAACATTTTAATGATTAATAAATTGCATAAAGCATAACGCTTAACTGTTTATGCTAAAGCGTTATTATTATTATTATTATAATTGCACTGGACACGCCGTTGCCATGGACACAAGCGCGTTGCTATGATATTTGTTTACTTTTCTCGAGGGTTGCCATGGAGATTATAGCGTTGCCATGGTTGCGAGTTGTGGATTTCAACTTTGTGGATTTCAATTTTGACGTTAATGAATGATTTTATGAGTAGATAATACTTACAATAAGAAATGTTTTAGAGTTCTCACTTCACAAAATAGGAAAAATATCGAGCACATGCACTATAATGTTTATTAATTGGTGCGCACTACTCGCGAGCGTTTTACCAACTGACAGCTTTCATTCTTCAGCATGTCGTGCGTACTGCCTACCCCCACTCTTCTTCTTCTTCTGTTTGACTTAAGTTGGTTTAATATCCATTTACTCGAACGCATTAAATCTAATCCATTTACTACAAAGGCTTTTTAATTGTTTATTTTCGAGGTTAGGTGCATTACTTACTGGCAAGTGCATGTGATTGTCAGTTGTCCTTCTTTCAGCCGTTTTTTTATTTTATCTTGAGAAATCTATTGTTTTTATGCGGTGACTTTGCTGTGTGTTTAATTTATGGATTTGGTGTACCTACCTATTAGGAAAAAAGTAAAATAGTATTTTTTATTGAGAGGTTACAAAGAAATTGGTAATTTGGTGATAATTAGTGATCAAAAACACACTGTATCCAAGAATGTTATAATAAAGCATTTCTCTCGATCAAAGATTTAATTCCTATACAATTATAAATAGAATTACCCGTAGTTCGTCAATTAATCAGACCAGTATAATTTAGTGGTGAAAAACCAGTTTTGCACTACCTAGGTAGGTACTCGATCGGCCAATAAATGAAGCACATTTTTTCCGACTTGTTTTTTGTCTTTAATAATCTTTGTTTTTATCTAATGAAATGGAGTGGTGTTATTATTAAAGCTAACCAACTAGTTGGGCATTGATTTTTTAACTGGTTTTGTTTTATTAAATAAAAGTAATCCTTTAATACGCATTGCACTATAATCTATAAAGCAATGTTGCATTTACATATGAATTTTTTTAAGTTATTAAGAGTTTTAAATACCCAGTAAGAATATCAAGAAAACTCACCTTTTTTGGTGGTTTCAAATTTAAAACCAAAAAACGTAATTTTTTATAGTCAGCGCCATCTGTTAGTAAAAATGTTAAGTAGAGTTAAATTTGACAGGTAGCTTTGTTATTATTTTATTTATTTTGTAATTTTTTTTACATTTTTGAATAAACATTATAAAATTTTGTAAATTATATCATTTTTATTCAATTTTTCTTGTTTTAAATGACTTTTAGGCACATTTAGTCAACATTATGAAATATTTGGTTAACTCTGACGTCACAAGATGGCGCCGTGACAGTTGCTTTAAAACCGTGTTGAAAAACGTTTTTGGGTGAAGTTTATCGTTTCTTGAATGTCAATAGATGTTATTTTGACACGTTAAATGACATATTAATTGTGAAACATCGTGTTCGCGGCGTTTTCTAAATGAAGTTTGCCGCGCTGGCAACAGGGCATAGGCGCAAGTCTGCAAAAGTCGGCGTATGTGTCGCGCATTGTTGATCGTCGCCGAGGAGTGTCTGCACACGGTTATTTCGTCATTCGGGCCGATCAAAAAGTCGTGTGGTGTTTATTTAGAAACATTAAAACGTTGCTAATAGCGGTGGCTTTGCGGCGGCCATTGTAAAACAAAAAACGAGTGCAATAGATCAAGGGTGCGTGGTTGGTGTGTAAAACAAAAGAGTGCAACACACAGCATCTCTATGGTTTGATAAAAACACGTGTGCAGTGATGAGTTAATGGTGCGTTTGATATGGTAAATAGCGACTTGGTTGTGTTGTTTATTATTTAGTGACAGGCGAGTGTAATATTATTGCAAGAAGCGACTCAGTCGGGTGGTTGAGTCCATTGTGCCGCGAATTAGGGGAGGCCGGTGTGCACCAAAGCCAACTTTGCGTTTTTAAAATCATGTCCACAATAACAAAACCTGCTGGATTTTTTGATGATGTTCCATTGCGGATGATTTTGGAGTGGTAGAAGATGTCATCTTCGAGATGAGCCTTGAAATGTTTAGTTTAGATATTCGCGATTTGTTTTTGCTCTGTCCTTGTCTGGCGCAGGGCGGAAGTGTCTGCTGCTGCTGCTGCTGAGGCTTGGGTTGGCCTTGGTAACGAAAGGTTAGTGGCCTTAACCACGCGGGATTGTTTACCAAAGGGGAGACGCTGCTGAGGCATGCAACCGCATAGAGCCTCTTAAAATCTCAACCCTTAATCCGTCTCGATAAAAAATCAACATTAACCTTAACACAGGAAATTCCTCGGCTCACATGGCGTGGCACAAGCACGACCATCAGATGCTCATGGACAAAACTAAACCCAAAAGTAAGTTATAGGTACCTACATTTTTTAGAACAACAGTTAGGTATATGAAAAACAAATTTCCATGGCCTACTCATACATTTTTAATGATATTTTTATGCAAATTTTACTTATGATTCATAAGTTTGACTTTTTTCAAGACGTTTAAATTTTGCCACTTCCTAGGATTGACTTCACGGTAATAGCAACCCTTGATATCGTAAACAATTTTGTGTTACCATGGCAATTGTCAATTTAAAGAGATTGTTGCTATGGTAACCCTGAAAGCGTTGGATAATGAATTATTTATTAAAATCACGTGTTTTTGGAATTGATTCTAAGACGTCAAAAGTCGTAGAGCCTTTTGGTAGACATTATTTGCAAAGTAAAGAAACATGGTTACAATTGAAAGAACATAAAAATCATTTTAATTTAAATTAATTTTTGTGTAGGTAGTTTATTGTTTTTATTTTTATCTGGAGACGTCTACTTTTTATCAAAAGGATTGTTTGTTTGCTAAACTTAATAAGCAAAATTCCGACTTTAGAAGCATCGACTATCCTGTCGCCATACCTTTATCTCCGACAAACATTGCACACTTGCGTATTTATAAGTTTTCGTGGAAAACTTTATTTTTAATTTTCACTTTTCTCGCATAGAAACAAGCTAGAAATGTCGGATAGCTAGGTGATGCAAGCGATACATTGCAGAGGAAGCGAATTTAAAAGTGGACATCTTATTTTTAGTTCGACACTAATAATAGAAACTTATGTAGGTACGCGTATACACGGTCGGTTTGTAAATCAAGCTAAAAAAAGTAAATCGCCGGTAAAATCAAAATTAAACCTGCTTTGGCAATTGTTAATAATAATTACTAACCAAATAAAAAATTGTATCTACCTACATTGAAATTTTTTTGGAATTGTTAAAATTAACGGTTTTTTGCAAACATGTATTTTTATCGGTTATCTACAGTTAAAAATTGATTAAAGACAATTTTAAATACCTACAGTGGAATATTTAAGTTGTCAAATTTAAACAATAGTTATTTGTTTTACAAGTGTTGAAAAGCGACTTTTTCATGCGAGTTTTTAAGTTGCCCACGAGGCCGTTAGGCCGAGTGTGCATTAACACGAGCTTGAAGAAAGCTTTTCTCACAAGTATAACACAATGTTTTTTCTGCGACCCTTTTATTTTTTATTATTTTTAAATACAAAACAAAATAACCTAAAAACTTTTTTGACAGCTAAATGTCAAACGATGCTTTCCGGTTCTTTTCACACAGACCTGTCACTTTTCACACAGAAATGTCACTTTACATTCGTGTTTTGCCTTGCCAATGAAAAGATTCATTTTCTAAGCAACGATGCCATCATGAAAAGTGACTTTTACATAGTGGTCGTAGAAAAAAATACTTTTGTGAGTTTGACAACATTTTGGTAATAATGTTTGCCAAGAATTTAATAAATTCAATTAAATAAACTTTAATTTACCTATAATTTTTTATTATAAAAAAGAAATTTTGAAGCAACCACATATTCTGTAAAAAATGTACCTATAATCAAGGACATACATTGTTGCCAAATTGTCTTCTTATTTTTTACTACTTAACAACTACATATAGGTATAAATATACCTAGTTAGGTAATCAAATACAACAGTTTTTTGTGGTAAAAAATATTTTTTAAACATTTTAATTAGTTATTCAAATATTTCACTGGTAAATACCTTCATATCGTACTTTTTAAATTATTAACAATTATGTAAAAATTTATATTTACATTGCTATTTTAATAAATTGTAATTTTTTCAATATTTTACTTTTTGTTATCGTCAATCAAAAAAATGACGTTTTTAAAAACTTGGGTCGTGTCTTGCGCGAGACGCGGCAACGTCGCGGTGGCGGCTGTTGAGGCGGCGGTGTGCGACGACCACCGCCAACTTCGCCACTCGCAGAGTCGGCGCGGCGGCTGCTGCTGCCGTCCCCCTGATCAATACGGCCATACTCTTTCGGCCCGCCACCCCCCCTCCCTCTTTTACCGCCCCTGGGGCTCTTTCCTCCGCTCGCGCTTCCGACCGCCGCCCACGACGCACTGGGGGTGGATGTTGGTTTTTAAGCGATAAATTGATTTTAACATAAGTATACTGTTAAATTGGATTAAAATAATGTTCCCACCTTTTTAGGGTTGTAGAAAATTAAAAAAGATGAAAAATGAGTACCCACATGATGTGTTTTGTACGAAAAACAAGTGAGATATGAGGGAAAACAAAATGACATGGCCTACTAACGGATTTTACGTTTTTTATGATTACTTTGTTAATACATAAAAATTCATGTGTGAGACATGATTTTAACGCGTTTTTAGTGCATTTTTAAGATTTATAACAAAATTGGAAAATTTTGATTAATTTTGAAAATTAAATAAAAACGGGGTTTAAGAGACATTTTAAAAACAATGCATTTTTATTTGTTCTTAACATTTTTTTATTACCTACAAGATTCTTTAAAATTACCTAATATATTTTTTTAAGATATTGTCAATGTCAAAATTGTTATCCATTTAATAAACATAATTTTGTTCATAGTGCGGCCGTTTGGTCTGGCCGTCGAGAATCAGCCGCCTCTCGCGATGTCATTTTTCGCTCTTTCGTTTCACCTGCCCGCTCCCCGTTAGCCGCCGCCGCCATTATTATCATCATTCCTCCGCCCCCGCCTCTTTACCGCGCTTTCTTTAGCCCCTTTTATTTCATCTCCGCACTCGCAGACGTCTATGTTACCAATTAACGCGTACAAAGATCAAAATTGCAGAGAAATTTATTTTTATTGTTTTTGGTACCCTACAAATAAAATGAATTAATATGAATGATATTTAATTATAAAACCATTAATTTATCTCTTAAAATATTAATTCTAAAGATTCGACTTATAAGTAGGAGACTACATTTCCTAGATTTTTTTTTACTTTATTTTCTAAAGCCAGGAAAAACTCTAATAAACATATCTATGTGACCTATGTGAAAGGCTATGTCCTAAAATTAGTTCACCTTATTTGATATCAATCTTTGTACAAATTATAATATTTGTTTATGTTTGTTGGCCCAGTTTTTTTTTTATAATTTATTAGACACTTTAGGATTAATTTGGACAACCTACTTTTGAACGATAAGGATTTTTTTTATCTGAAAAAGTAGTAGTTTTTAATTTATTACGTTAACCACAGTATTTTTTATTTAAAAAATGCTCGTGATTTTAAATATTGTAAAATGGTTATATAGGTAGGAAGTCCATTAGTATAAACTGGGTTTTTCCAATAAAATATCTCAAACGGTTTGGCTAAATCAGTTTGGGACATCCAGTATGTATAATATTTACTTAAAATTATTGGGTATTTAATTTAAATTTCAATATAGCTATTCAATGTATTTAGAACAAATTATTGACCCTTTAAATCAAATAAAATTGAACCTAAGTTTTTGTGCTCCCTGGTTGCGCCGCTACTGTTTTGTTTGCAACAAAACAACATATACATTTGTGTCGTACCTAGGCTGGTAATGGCCTTAAATACGCACTATAGGGTCTCTCTAGTTCTTCGACAGAGAGAATACCTACCTCGAGTAACTTTACAGTGGAGAAATAGGGTTTGAGAATCAGTTCAGGTTTTGTGGTTTAATTTAAATGCCAAAATAACTTAAACTTGTTTATTCTATCATAGAAATATATACAATATATACAAAATCATACGTAAAGGATATATACATAAAATAAAAGTCTATCGTAGACAGGTATTATACAAGGCTATGTGTGCAAACAGGTCAATATTTCGTTCTTGATACCCCAAAAGGCAACAGGCAGGTACAGGCTCCGTTTTCCTCCACAGACCGGCAGGTTCACTTGCAACTGGGGCTATAAAGAAGAAATATTTAGTGCACAATACATAAATAAGGTTATGTTCACATGGATGTTAAATGTGGATCAATTATTAATTACAGGACGGGTGGCAGGATAGCAAGTAGGTTAAAGACAGCATATAAGCTAAGCATAAAAGCCCAGCATAAAAGCCCCAGGTTAACCTACTGTTTTAGATCACTAGAAACTATAGTCCTTGTGCATTCAAGTCTCGGTATCGGTTCTTCCATCCAGTATTAAGACCAGTCGGAATTTGAGCCACCAATAGACTGCTTTTATTAATGTCCAAATCCGCCTTTTATAGCTAAAACTTGCACAAAGAAATCGTCTAAAAACCATATCATGTCGTTCTGCTCCATTGGGCTGTCAAAATTAGTTGTTTTAGTACATGGTACGGCATCTGTTGGCTGGTGGATGTACTACCTCTTGCAGGTAACAGAAAACTGTGGTGAATTACTACTGCTTCATTACACATTATACATATAAAAAATCACATGGCAACTCACTAAAATTATAACTGGTGTTTTTAATTTTTAAACATGTATCTACCTTATTTTTTATTACCTACTTAGGATTTTTTTTAATGAGCTTTTTGAGCGGATATAATTGTTTAATTAACATTTTTTCAATTAAGCATACAAATTAAGGCAATTTATGCAAGTTAAAATTTATTTTAATTTTTTTGAAAATTATATACCTACCGGGTGTCGTACCTAAACAAATATAACCGTTTTTCAGGTAGGTATATTAAGTAAAACTGTCTGAGACAGTCTGTCTCTAGTCTTCGTGGTTTAAAAGTTTTCCGCTCATTAAGTAAGTCTTATTTTTAAGAAAACATAACCTCAAATTTGCCTTGTGTAGGAAGTGTACCAAATTACAAGAAAATAATATTCAAAACATTAAGTAGGTATTATATTTTGGAAAAGTTAATTAAAAAATTATAATTTAAAAATAATAATAAATAAATTTGCTACCTAATTTTTTGACCTATCATTATTAGTTTACTTCCTAGATCTAAAAAATGAGGGATTTAAAAATAGTAGGTATAGGTATTATGTATCAAGTTTGATAAACGCCATTTTATACACGAATTTAATTTAGGCACGAGCGAGTTCTT